CAAACAAGATGATCAATCTTCTTCTTCAATATCTAAGCTCAACAATGGTGAAACCCTTAATTTCTCTCTCTAAACTGCCCTAATCCTAACCTAAACCTAGAGAGAGAATCTCTCCTAAAAAACTAATTAGAGAATAGAATAAATGGTAATTGTTTTTCCTTCCCTAAAAATGGGTATTTATACAAAGCTAGGAAAAATAGAAAAATAAAAGAAGGAAATAAATAAAGAAAGAAAAGGAATTAAAAAGAAATAAGAAAAGAGAAAGGAAAAAGGAAATAAAAATAAAAAGAAAAGAAAATAATAAAAACCTAAACCCCCCACAAAACAACCAGACTTCATTCCTTTTCTTCGATCTCTATGGCTGCTCTGATTTGTGATCATCATACCACCATCGTCAACCATTATCATTGAATCACCACCATCCGATCATAATCAATGCTCTAAATCAATGGCTATCATCACCAATTGCATCATCATCATCATTATTAGACCGGTTTATCTTCATTAAAATCCCGTGTGTTGCTCGTAAAATGGTTCGATCAAACCCCGGGTAGGTTCGACCGAACTACGGGGTTGGTTCGGTCGAACCATGGGTATGTTCGACCAAACCTATTCAATTTAGACAACTTCAAAAGTTCATGACTGTTTTAACACTTTTTTGCACTTCGATCGAACTCCTTAATGGTTTGCCCGGACCCGATCAATTTGTGATTTACTCTAAATTGGGGTTGTTACTTGGGCGATTTGGGGTTGCAATTGGCGGCTGATTTGTTGCTGTAAATTGGTGATACGGTTGTTGACGGTGGTCAGGTGTGTGGGAGCTGGTGGTGTGCGTGAGGTGGTTTTGTGTGTTGAGGTGCTGATGTAGACTGAGCGGGGGAAGGTGCATTTGTGGTGGAGGTTGAAGCTGGTTTGGTTGGTGGCAGCCGGGGAGTTGGTTATAGGAGGAGGTTGTTGTTATTGCGGTTTGTGGGTGCTGGTGGTGAAGTGCGTGGTTGTGATGAGGAAGTTGGGTGGTTGTTACGGGGATGATTGGTGATTGGAGGTGGTGGTGGTTGTTCGCAGGTGGTTGCGTGGCTGGTGAGTGGTGTTTTCGGGGGCTAATGGGTTGGTGTGAAACGGTGGTGGCACTGTGGTGATTTTGGTGGTAGGTTGCTGCCAGGTGCGTGGCTGTGACTGTTAATTGGGTTGGAGTTTGAGCTGGTGGTTAGTTGGTTGAGTGAGGGAGCAGGGGAAAGGTTGGTGTGGTGGAGGTTAAGAAAGAGGTGGGGTGAAGGATAGGAGGCATCAGCTTTTTATGCCCTTATCTCAAACCCGAGACTCACTTGACATGAAACCTGGGACCCTGGAGAAATCAAGATAAATAAAAATAAAATAAATAAATTAGGAATAAATAAAGTAAAATAGAAAAAGAGAAATAACACTAAACTAATAAAAATATAAAACTATACAAGTAAATAAAATAAAATAACAAAATAAAATAAACTTAAAACTAATAAAAACTATGAAAGTAACAAAGAAAAGGATCGAAATAAAATAAATCGAAAGCAAAAAAAATATGAAAATAAACTAGAAACTAATTAAATAAAGAAATTAAATTAAAACATACTAAAACTAATTAATAAATTAGAAACTTTATTAAAAATAAAATAAGAGAATAAAAGGGAAAACAAGGGAAAATAAACACGAAAATAACTCTAAAACTACTCCCTAAGAGTGACATAAATGTCACTCATCAAATTCCCCCAAGCTAAACCTTGCTCGTCCTCGAGCAAAGCTAAGGCAAAAGAGAACAAGATGGAATTATTGAAAGTAAAAGAAACAAAATAGAAACAAAGAGAAAAAATGTACATTAACACACTTCTGTAGGAATCACGGATGCATTTAGCGTATGCCTCAAGCCCTTTAAACCCCCATGTCGCCAAAGAGGACGATTAAGCTCTTGTGAGGGTTTCCTAAGAGGTTTAACCCACAACTCTTGGCAATACATAACATTCAGGGAAAAGGTGAAATCAAGAAAACCCGAGTTTTGACATTTCAAACCAAACACAAACAACGGGCTAAGTGCACAAGAATACAATCCTTTCTAGACATTAAAAGTAGCCAAGAAAAAGAATAGCTAAGGTTGGTACACACATAAAACATGAAAAGGGTAGAGAACTTAGAGGGACTTACACTCCTCCTTATCTCCAACCAAACTTCTGCGTCCTCACTAGTTTTGCATCCACTTTTAAGGTGACATCTCGAGATTCCTCGAAGGAACCGAAAGAAATAAACAATGAAAAACATTTAGGCTACCCGACATCTTGACATCGATAGCTCGCTCAATACGCTTGGCTTGATTACCCTCCACTGGTAGTAACTAAACCTCACTAAGGTCAAAAGGTCTTAAAAGGGTTGAAACGTCTAGGCTAGGGTAAAGGGCGTGGAAATAAATTTGGAAATTGGTGGTAAACTTAGAAGTGAAGCAAGGTTGATCATTCCACAATTCAAACTCAATAAACTACCAACTTTCAAATCAAAAATTCTAGCAACTCCTCCCCCAAGCTTATTATTTTTCAACCAAACAACAAATACTTTTGTATTTTGTCAATATATATTTTTTTTCTTTTTTTCTCTTTTTTTCATTTCTTTTTATTCTTTGCTCTCGCCTCTTTCAACTTTGAGCGACTTTTTCTTTCATTTCCTTTATTTTCTTCTCATTTTCTCAAACTATTCAACATAACAAATATAGTCACAAGTATCAAAATTTGAGTTTTTCACTTCTTTTTCATTCTTTTTCTCACTTTCATTAACCAAAAATACAAATCGAGTCCCAAGAGTGCTTCACAAAAACTAATAAAGTGAAAATAAAGCAAAGGTACATTGTTTTGTAATGTGGTTATGCCAAAGAAGGGAAAAAAGGATCAAATTAGGTTACTAAATGAGCAAACGCAAAATTAAAATAAAAGAATAAAAAATAATAAAAACCCAAATCCCCCACAAAACAATCAGACTCCATTCCTTTTCTTCAATCTCTATGGCTACTCTGATTTGTGATCATCATACCACTATCGTCAACCATTATCATTGAATCACCACCATTTGATCATAATCAATGCTCCAAATCAATGGCTATCATCACCAATTGCATCATCATCATCATTATTAAACCGGTTGATCTTCATTAAAATCTCGTGTGATGCTCGTGAAATGGTTCGATCAAACCCCGGGTAGGTTCGACCGAACTACGGGGTTGGTTCAGTCGAACCATGGGTATGTTCGACCACACCTATTCAATTTAGACAACTTCAAAAGTTCCCGACTGTTTTAACACTTTTTTGCACTTCAATCGAACTCCTCAATGGTTTTCCCGAACCCGACCAATTTGTGATTTACTCTAAATTGGGGTTGTTGCTTGGGAGATTTGGGGTTGCAATTGGTGGCTGATTTGTTGCTGTAAATTGGTGATGCGGCTGTTGACGGTGGTCAGGTGCGTGGGAGCTGGTTGTGTGCGTGAGGTGGTTTTGTGTGTTGGGGTGCTGCTGCAGACTGAGCAGGGGAAGGTGCGGTTGTGGTGGCGGTTGAGGCTGGTTAGGTTGGTGGCAGCAGGGGAGTTGGTTATAGGAGGAGGTTGCTGTTGTTGCGGTTTGTGGGTGCTGGTGGTGATGTGCGTGGTTGTGATGAGGAAATTGGGTGGTTGTTACGGGGGTGATTGGTGATTGGAGGTGGTGGTGGCTATCGCAGGTGGTTGCGTGGCTGGTGAGTGGTGTTTTCGGGGGCTAATAGGTTGGTGTGAAATGGTGGTGGCACTGTGGTGATTTTGGTGGAAGGTTGCTGCCAGGTGTGTGGCTGTGACTGTTAATTGGGTTGGAGTTTGAGCTGGTGGTTGGTTGGTTTAGTGAGGGAGCAGGGGAAAGGTTGGTGTTGTGAAGGTTAAGAAAGAGGTGGGGTGAAGGATAGGAGGCAGTAGCTTTTTATGCCCTTATCTCAAACACGAGACTCACTTGACATGAAACCCGGGATCCAAAACACAAAACCGAGGAGAAATGAAGACAAATAAAAATGAAATAAATAAACTAGGAATAAATAAAGTAAAATAGAAAAAGAGAAATAACACTAAACTAATAAAAATATAAAACTATACAAGTAAATAAAATAAAATAACAAAATAAACTTAAAACTAATAAAAACTATGAAAGACAATTTGACAAGGGAATAAACGCGTCGTCAATTGTCTATCCCTGGATCAAATACAATTTATACAACCTACACAAACCTAATACGAGTATAAGGCAAGCATAGGGGTCGAACCACAGGGAACGAATAAACACCACCAAATGTTATCGATAATTAAGCTAGTCCAGAACAAGAAATAAATAAACTAAATTCTAAAGATGCTAAAACAAGAAATAAAACATTAAGGGAAATGGTTTAGGTATAGCATTCACTTGAACATAAACAAAGGCATAGAAATTGAATTAATTATGAACTAAACATGCTCGAATATCGAAATAAAGGATCCAATCTAGCTGCCTTCCGGGGTCAATTGGCTTCTCCTAACATAGCATCTATGTTTTCACATAAGAACCATATACTAGGAGGTACTATTAAATAACAATCGATAATAATGAACCTTAACTAAGTCAAATTTCGTTCCTTGTTATCAAAGATTCACCTTTAATCAACCAACAATGTGCACTTGCAAGAAGATTGAAGAATATCAAACATATAAAGACTTTAATCACAAATTAATCAATACTAAACCCTATAACATGCTCAAGATCCAACTACACCACAACCATCCCCTTAATGGGGAAATTATTCACTAATCATGCTAATAACAAGATTAATTAACAAATAATTAAGAATAAACATGATTAACAAGCAATACCAACAACTAAAATAATAATCAAAAGAAATCAAATAAAATAGAGGAGAGAGAGTAAGAGATTCTCATTGATTGAATGTGAAAATCTACAAACAACATGATCAATTTTCTTCTTCAATATCTAAGCTCAACAATGGTGAAACCCTTACTTTCTCTCTCTAAACTGCCCTAATCCTAACCTAAACCTAGAGAGAGAATCTCTCCTAAAAACTAATTAGAGAATAGAATAAATGGTAATTGTTTTTCCTTCCCTAAAAATGGGTATTTATACAAAGCTAGGAAAAATAGAAAAATAAAAGAAGGAAATAAATAAAGAAAGAAAAGGAATTAAAAAGAAATAAGAAAAGAGAAAGGAAAAAGGAAATAAAAATAAAAAGAAAAGAAAATAATAAAAACCCAAACGCCCCACAAAACAACCAGACTTCATTCCTTTTCTTCGATCTCTATGGCTGCTCTGATTTGTTATCATCATACCACCATCGTCAACCATTATCATTGAATCACCACCATCCGATCATAATCAATGCTCCAAATCAATGGCTATCATCACCAATTGCATCACCATCATCATTATTAGACCGGTTGATCTTCATTAAAATCCCGTGTGTTGCTCGTAAAATGGTTCGATCAAACCTCGGGTAGGTTCGACCGAACTACGGGGTTGGTTCGGTCGAATCATGGGTATGTTCGACCAAACCTATTCAAGTTAGACAACTTCAAAAGTTCCTGACTGTTTTACCACTTTTTTGCACTTCGATCGAACTCCTTAATGGTTTGCCCGAACCCGATCAATTTGTGATTTACTCTAAATTGGGGTTGTTACTTGGGCAATTTGGGGTTGCAATTGGTGGCTGATTTGTTGCTGTAAATTGGTGATGCGGCTGTTGACGGTGGTAGGAGCTGGTTATGTGCGTGAGGTGGTTTTGTGTGTTGGGGTGCTGCTGCAAACTGAGCAGGGGAAGGTGCGGTTGTGGTGGCGGTTGAGGCTGGTTTGGTTGGTGGTAGTAGGGGAGTTGGTTATAGGAGGAGGTTGTTGTTGTTGCGGTTTGTGGGTGCTGGTGGTGATGTGCGTGGTTGTGATGAGGAAGTTGGGTGGTTGTTACGGGGGTGATTGGTGATTGGAGGTGGTGGTGGCTGTTCGCTGGTGGTGGCTGGTGAGTGGTGTTTTCGGGGGCTAATGGGTTGGTGTGAAATGGTGGTGGCACTGTGGTGATTTTGGTGGTAGGTTGCTGCCAGGTGCGTGGCTGTGACCGTTAATTGGGTTGGAGTTTGAGCTGGTGGTTGGTTGAGTGAGGGAGCAGGGGAAAGGTTGGTGTGGTGGAGGATAAGAAAGAGGTGGGTGAAGGATAGGAGGCAACAGCTTTTTATGCCCTTATCTCAAACCCGAGACTCACTTGACATGAAACCCGGGACCCTAAACACAAAATCGAGGAGAAATCAAGACAAATAAAAATGAAATAAATAAATTAGGAATAAATAAAGTAAAATAGAAAAAGAGAAATAACACTAAACTAATAAAAATATAAAACTATACAAGTAAATAAAATAAAATAACAAAATAAACTTAAAACTAATAAAAACTATGAAAGTAACAAAGAAAAGGAACGAAATAAAATAAATCGAAAGCAAATCATAAATGAAAATAAACTAGAAACTAATTAAATAAAGAAATTAAATTAAAACATACTAAAACTAAGAAATAAACTAGAAACTTTATTAAAAAGAAAATAAAAGAATAAAAGGAAAAATAAACACGAAAATAACTCTAAAATTACTCCGTAAGAGTGACATAAATGTCACTCATCATGAAAGCACATTAATTTGTAGTACCTTCAAATTCCATTTCCTTTACCAAGGTCATTATTGAGGGTGAGGATGAAAGGCACTTCCATCAACTCAACATTCCCCATCTTCCAACAAAGCACTTTTGTTAACTTGATGTCTGGTTTGATGTCAACATATGACATTGTTGGTAGAGGTATCTCTCAAAATTTGCAACTTAAATATTTGATAAGGAAAAAAAAACGGTTTTTTCACCACATACCCCTGAGCTTATTGTTTATTCACTATATACCCATGAAAATTTTTAAATTCACCATATACCCTTAAGTTATTACCAAAATTTACAATATACCCCTAATGAAAATAAGATGAATGAAATTTGGTTAATTATACCTCAAAGTCACCTTAGATCTCTCCCCTCATTCCCGAAATCACTCCTCTTCTTTTTCCAGCCCCTAAAACCACTCCAAATCTACATAACCGTATGATTGATTTTGAGGATGAGAAAAGGAAATTTAGGATAGTTTTGTGGGTGTGAAAAAAGAATGTGGGTAGTTTCGAAGGTAGGGGAATGTATTTAGGATGGTTTCGGTTCATTATTAGCTCTAATGATTGACAAAATTAAAAATCATTAGTCATCAAGGGTATATGGTGTATTTTTGTAAAAACTCGGGGGCATTTGATGAATTTACAAAAGTGTAGGGGTATATGGTAATAAACAAAAAATTCGGGGGCATATGGTGAAAAAGCCGAAAAAAAATATTATAATATGCTACAAATTTTTAATTTATCCCCAATTAAATCTAGAGGTAAGAGCTAGGTTTTTTTTTTTTTGGAGGAAAAGGTAAGAGCTAGGTATAATCTAGGAGTATTCGATTTTTTTTTTCTTTACATTTTATCAATTGTATAACAGCATAACACCTCGAAAATTATCCTTGTTACAACAACCTAACTGTAGTAATAATATTCAATCAAACATAATAATCAACAAGACGTTATCCAAAACTTGCACCCAAGAATTAATCAAAATGCTAATAACTATGTATATACATTTATAAATACATCATAACATATAGATTTTTAATGAATACTATATATGCTATATTAATACACAAGTACTAAATGCAGTACAAATTAACCTAAATGCAGGATAAATAAATAATATTTAAAAACTCAAATGACCAAATTGTCCTTTAAATAATCAAACTACACCCCCAATAATCCATTCCCTCCTACAGTACGTCCTATCTTCCTCAAACCAAGACTTGAGGAGTCCATTAAATTAAACCAATAAGCTTCTTCTCCATTGTCCTTCAATATTGTAGATTAAGGTCTAAATTTTATGTTTTATGTAGTAAATCTCTATATTCATTTCTTACTCTTTCTGTTTTGATGTAGACATTGTTTTATTAGTAGATGCTGAAAAAATAAAATTAAAAAAATAAAATAAGAGGGTCTCGGCTTCTCTAACCGGTAAGTTGATTTAACTACCGGCACTCAATTTTGGCAGCTCAAGTCGACTACCAGCCTCAAGAGCCGGTACCTTTGGCCATGTATTGTCTCTTACGTCCGGTAGTTCCTGTCGGCCATCGATTATGTATTTATGTGTACCGGTCGTCGAAGCAACGTACTGAATATTATGTTTTGTCTTTTTAATTTCACGATTATATTGATAAATTGGTATAGTGAGTTGTATCATGAATTGATTCAAATAGGATGAAAGGTAAAGATCTGTAGAGATATACAAATTATTAGATATTGAAATAATTATAGATTTATGAGTTTTTTTTTCAAGTAAGATTTATGAGTTTTTTTTCGTAAGATTTATGAGTGATTATGATTTACTAAATTAGGGGTAACTTAGGAAGTCTAAAGTTTAATTAAATTTAATTTATCCTGCATTTAGGTAAAATTAATCTGCATTTAGTACCACCCTATTAATATAGTACCATATCAGATTTAGTATACATTACAATTTACAAGTTATGACAATAGATACTCAAGAACAAGGACAATTATAATGCCAATGATGCCTTCATCCCAAGCCTACTCAAGAACAAGACATATAGGATGTGCAGAAGAAACACAAAGAAGCAACAATTTAGCAAGTGCTGCCAGAAAAAGAGAGTGTAAGCTCAATGGCTACATCATACAAAATTAAGAATTGGATTTTTTTTCCTCTATTTGTTTGATACTTCATGGATCTAGAAATCTTACCAGAGTACCAAATATATAGCATAGATTGTACTTATTGATTGGGAAATTGAGATTTGAAGAAGACAGAAGCCCTCTCCTTGCTAAATATAAATTAATAATAATACACGACCATCAAGGTTACACTGCTTCAATTTCGCCAACCTATTCGCCTGAACAATCACAAACTCCCTTTTCAGACCAAAATCAAACAATATTCATGCAATCAAAAAATTTCCCAAAACAAAATCAAATTAAAGAGATAAGAGAATTAATTACCCGTTTTTTCTTGCCGAAATCCTTGAAAGCATTAGAATAGAAGCATTGATGGTTTAATCAGACACCATGATTGAAGATAAACCTGGACATCGAAAAATACTATGAGTAAAATATTCCATCAATTCCACAAAACACAAACAAACATCAACAACAATAGAAAAAATTTTAGAATTTTTTTTTAAAAAAAAATGTCTAACATCCAATATACCTGAGTTTATTCACTTAACTTAGCAACCGCAGCGCTGAAACCGGAAACGCTGAGAAGAATTGAAGCCCATAACCATCGTCTAAGGGATGATCGGTGGTTTTAAGCTCACCTTTCACATCCCAAGACTCAATGGTAACCTTCGACACCTTTCACACCCACAAAGATTCAACGCAAAGAATTCAAAAACAACAGGAACATATATGCAAAAACCCACGACAATCAAACATTAAAACCCCAAAAATTTGAAACTAAATCGAGAGAGAAAAACGAGATCGAACTTGATAAATGTGACGATCGAAAAATCATCTTTCACATCCCAAGACTCAACGATAACCTTAACAACTGCGGCGCCGAAACCAGAGCAATGGAAACGATGAGAAGAATCGAAGGCCCATCGCCGATCTAGGCGTGGAAGGAAAACATCTTTTCTCTCTCTAAGTTTCTCTATCCTTATTTCTCTGACTCTTTTTCCTTCTCAGATGAATAGAGAAATAGGAAAGTCGGTGAGAAGCAGGGGCCACTCTCAATTACAGCTATCACACATATTACAATAGGCAAATAAAGGGCATTTTCGGAATTCCATAAAAAACAAGGGTGTCTATGTAACGTGTTATTTTTCATAAGCTACAGTGATTTGGTTTGAATTTTTATAAAGGTTAAGGATGAAAAGTAATCCTGTGCACCGTGCCGGGCCGGGCCTGGCGGGCCACGGGCTGATTCGTGTCGTGCCGGTCGTGCCGGCGGGCCCAGGATTTCGTGTCGTGCCGTGCCGGTCATTTTCACAGGCCAGCCCACGGCACGGCACGGCCCTCGTGCCTGGCGGGCTCGTGCCGTGCCGGCCTGCGGGCTGGTGCAGTTTTCAATTTTTTTTTTTTTTTTTTTATGACAACATTATAAATTAATAAGTTTATAATGTATATAAGTTATAAAATTATAATTATAAGTTTTATAAGGTAACTTATAAGTTTATAACTTATAAGTTATAAGTTATTAAGTTATGAATTTTATAATTATAAGTTGAATATTTATGTTTTATAATTTTATATTCAATATTTATATTTATATATTTACTTTATACTATTACTTTAAAATTTAATGTTTATGATTTATTAGTAATTGGTATAATTTTATTTTTTTTTAATATGAATTTACAAATTATAACAAAACGGGGAAAAAAGGCAAATTGGACTTTGGATGTGAATAATGCGTACTTTATATTATTATTACTTGAGTTGAGAAAATTGTACAATGATAACAATGATAAAAATCATACAATGATGGTATTAAACAAAAATTGAAAAATGATAAAATTGATATTTTTAAAATCGTACAATATACAATAATTGTCTATTCTTCTTCTCCTTCTTCTTGCTCGTCTTCGTCTTCGCCTTCGCCTTCAAGGTCATCGGCTAGTTGCATAGATTGGGAACTAGCCGAACCCGAACCCGAACCGGAAGCGGAGGTTCCTTCTTCGTTGTCGTTGTGGTCGTAAGAACTAGGGCTGGCAAAAGCTGACCCGACCCGACAACCCGACCCGAACCCAACCCGAAATAAATGGGTTTTGATAGAGATTTTCAACCCGTTTATGTAATTGGGTCAACCCGAACCCGACATGAAGTTAAATGGGTCGGGTTCAGGTTGAAAATCCCAACCCGAAACCAACCCGCATAAACCCGTTTATTTAATTGGGTCGGTTTCAGGTCGGGTCAACCCGAACCCAACCCGCTTAACTTAAAACCCTAATTTTAAAATATGGGCCAAGCCCAAATTATCTAACCCTAATTCCCTAAAGACCTAAAGTCCTAAACGGCTAAAACAATCCCCTTTCTCTCGCCGCTTTCTTTAACTCCAACTCTCTCTCTTCTCAGTTTCTCTCTCTTCTCTCCTCTCTTTTCTCTCTCTAACTCTTGAAGACTGAAATAAAAATGCTTGAACCTTGAAGATTGAAGCTTCATCTCAAACATTCTGAAGGTAATAATCCTATTATTCGATTTTTTATGAGTTTGTTTGCTCATGAGTCATTTGTTTATGCAATTTCCTTGATTTGGTTATGCAATTTTCAGATTTCTTTGATTTTTTAATGCGATTTTTTGCTATTATGGTTTATGTATGCTTTGTTTATGTGATTTAATCATTTAATGTTGTTCGTTTGTTATTTTCTTACTCTGCAATTTCTTTCGAACATTTGATTTGTTATTTACTTATTTTGCGATTATTTGCGATTTGTTTGTGCGATTTTTTGCCCTGATTTGATTTTCTTACTCTGCAATTTCATGAGTTTGATTCTTTATGTCATGACTCATGAGTTTATACTTCTGTTTTTCATGTTTTATCTTTTATGCCATGAGTGTAATTCTTTTTTAATTTATTCACAGATGGCTAATAGCCCTAATCCTGATGAACCCATTGATCTTTCGGATTCTGATTCAGATGATGAAGTCTCTGATTCTCATCAAACGAAATCAAAGAAGAAAACCTCTAATGTCACCTCGCTGAATAAGCCTGGAATTCATTTCAAGCGCCAACGAAAGCTCACTTCAGATGTGTGGGCAAATTTTGAATTCCTTGATAAACCTGACGAACAAGGTAACATCATTTGCAAGTGTAAAAAATGTGGGCAGAAATATAATGCTGAAAGTAGGCAAGGAACTGGTAATTTAAAACGCCACATTAAGAAATGTAAAAAAAGGACCTTTAAAGATGTGGGTCAGATGATTATTGATTCAAGCAGTTCTGGTTCTATGATGAATAGGGTTCCTACAATTGATTATGATATTGTTCGTGAGATGTTGTCTATTGATGTGGTGAAACATGATTTGCCTTTTCAGTTTGCTGAATATAGTGTTGTTAGGAAGTTGATTAATTACATAAATCCTGATGTTAAACTTGTGTCTCGAAATACTTTGAAGGCTGATGTTCTGAAAATGTTTAAGAGGGAAAAAGATAAACTTAAGGAGGAGTTGAGTGAAGTTAAGGGTAGGATTTCTCTTACATCTGATTGTTGGACTTCAATTACTACTGATAGTTACATGTCTTTGACTGCCCATTTTGTTGATAATCAATGGAATTTGCAAAAAAAATTCTGAACTTTCGTTTTTTGCCTCCACCTCACACCGGTGTCCATATGTCTGACCATGTCTATGATTTGCTTAAAGAGTGGGGTATCCAAAAGAAAATCATGTGTATTACTCTTGATAATGCTTCCTCTAATGATGTGTTTGCTGATGTAATTAAAAATGAACTTGATTTGGTATGTGGGGGGGATTATTTCCATGTGAGGTGTTGTGCACATATCCTAAATTTAATTGTGCAAGATGGGTTAAAAGAAATTAATGAGGCTGTTGTTCAGGTGAGAGAAACTGTGAAGTATTGTAAAGGGTCTCAGGCTAGAAAGCAACGTTTTTTGACTTGTGTGGCACATGTTGAACTAGACTCAAGTAGAGGATTGAGACAAGATGTCCCTACTAGATGGAATTCAACTTATTTGATGTTAGAGAATGTTTTGTACTACAAAAAAGCTTTTCTTCATTTTCAAAAGGTTGATGCCAATTACATTCATTGTCCAACAAATGAGGAGTGGGGGAGAATAGAGAAGTTATTCAGATTTTTGAAGGTCTTTTTTGATGTGACAAATGTTTTTTCGGGTACTAATTATCCTACCGCTAATGTATACTTCCCAAATGTGTTGAAAATCCGTTTACTCTTGAAAGAGGAGCTTGAAAATTCTGATAACTTTATGCATAAGATGGCAGCAAGAATGAATGAGAAATTTGCTAAATATTGGACTAACTTTAGCATAATCATGGTTGTGGTTGTTGTTTTAGACCCTCGATTTAAGTATGAGTTTGTGGAGTGGGCTTTTAAGAAGGTGTATGGGGAAATAGAGGGTACTAATGAGTTGGTGAAGTTTAAGGAAAGGTTGGATTATTTATATGGTGCTTATGTGACTGAGGCTTCCACAACAACACCACGAACAAGGCGTCGTTCTTCTAGACAACCTAATGAAGAGCAAGTTGATGTTGCTTCTGATTCTTTTATGATGGTAACTTTGAACACTTGCTTTTTGTTTGATAATCAGCTTTAAATTCTGTTTTTTGTATGCTTTATTGTAATTTTTGTTTAAACATCTTTTAGGACTTTGATAACTTCTCTTCTAGCAAATCATATGTTCCTGCTAAATCTGACTTGCAAATCTACTTGGAAGAGCCATTGATTCCTCGTGCAACCAACATTAATATTCTATATCATTGGAAAACAAATGTTGTGAGGTATCCAATTCTTTCAAAGATGGCAAGGGACATCCTTGCAATCCCTATTTCAACAGTAGCTTCAGAAAATCTGCCTTGGTGGTCGAGTTTTGGACTGCTATAGAAGCTCTTTGAAACCAAACACAGCAGAAGCTATCATTTGCCTCAAAGATTGGACTTTTGGTGAAGGTATGAAAATAGTTTATGTATTTAAAATTACAATTTTTTTTTGTTTCTTTTGTGTACTATTTTATTTATGCTTAAGGCTGAAATTAACTTTTGTATGTATTCTTTTGGTTGTAGCTAATATGGATCCGCAATTGCAAGATTTATGTGGAAAAATCATGGCCATGAAAGTCAACGATGATGTGGGGGATACTCCCAGTCCCAGCCCTCCCAAAGTGCACCAGAAAGTCCTGCTGTCATGGAGAGTCAAACCTGATTATGTTGTTAATTTCTTCTAAAATTAGTTGATGAAACTGTTACTGTTATTTTGGACATGTATTTGGTTTTCTAGTTGAACTTTTATTTGCCTACTTGGAAGTATTTTGGACATGTAACTTTTGGAAATATTTTGGACTTGTTGGCTGGCTACTTTTCAAGTTTTAGTTGTTGATGTGAGTGTATGAAACTATGAAGTATGGACAATGCACTAATGCTGCAGGATTTTCTTGAATTATGTTGTTAAGTTATGTTTGCTTGAATTATGTGTTGAATTTGAAGTCTTGAATACTTGAATCTTACAGGTTAAAGAAATTAGTCAAATTACAGGTTAAAAAAATTACAGTATAAAGAAATTAGTAAATTACAGGTTTTTATTTTATTTTTTTTAATTAAAAAAAATCAGGTTTAGGCGGGTCGGGTTCAGGTCGACCCGTTTATAATCAGGTCGGGTTCAGGTTGGTTTTTTTGACCTGTTTAAGTAAACCGGTCGGGTTCAGGTTGGGGGGTCCTGACCCGTTTATGTAAACAGGTCGACCTGAACCCGACCCGACCCGACCTGTTTGCCAGCCCTAGTAAGAACGGTCTTGTGAGCGATTTTCCGCATCCAACCAATCTTTGAAACACACGCACATTTCTAGTGTTTCGGGTTTTAGACTTGTTCTTCTATCGTCTAAAACCCTTCCGGATGCGCTGAAAGCTCGTTCGGAGGCGACGGAGGAAACTTGGATAGCAAGAATGTCTCGTGCCATTGCCGCCAAAGTTGGATGCTTCGAGCTTTGTTGTTTTCACCATGCAAGGAGGTCGAGGCTGTTTATCTCATCGTCGTCCATGCCTTTGGTGAAGTCGTAACTCAGGTACATCTGCAACTCCGAGACGTCGCTTTGCGTTCTCCTGATTGATGAATCACCTGAAAACCTTGAAATCAAGTTAGTAGCTTGTGAAAATAAATGTTTGGCCTTCTTACTTACGTTTTTGGATGGTTGGGAAGGCCCTGAGCGAGGAACGGTGCCATATTTGGCTTCATAGACTCTATATAAAGCAAAAAACTGATCCTTCACGTTAGTCTTATAGTTTTCTACATCATCGTCAAGAAACATGCATTGAAAGTAAATGTCAACTAACATAAATGTGTTTTCATACTTTTGCCTAGGATCTAATATGGAAGCAAAAATATAAATCAAAGGAATCTCACTATAATATTTACGCCACTTTTTTTCCATTGCTGGAAGATACTGATCATAATCACTTTGATGGCGATGATCAGCGAAAAGTTGGGCGAGTAAGCATGCATTAGAAAGAAAGTTTTGAGCACAAGGATTGTAAACAGTAGAAAAACAATACGTCATGTTATATAATAACTGTAAAAATTGCATATATCTTTCACAGTTTTTCCAAACATCATCATACATGTAAAATAATGTTAACGGGCCCTTGTACTCAATTGCCTTTGTTAACATGTCATAGGTGGAATTCCACCTAGTTGGGCAATCGGTTCTAATTTTTATTACCCTTATCTTTTGTTGTTTTAGAAAACTCTTCCATTCTTGGTATCTCATGTTAGAGCTATTAATAGACATAATAGCATCTCTGATTTTGTTGTAGTATGGGCCAATTGCCCGAACTCCATCCTGTACACATAAGTTAAGTACATGGCAAACACATCTAGTATGAAGAGCTTCACCGTCTAATAGTACATCGGTTAAGTTTTGTTTGATAAGATTAGCTGTGTATGTCATAGAGGTTGCATTATCAAAAGTCATAGACATCATTTTATCTCGAAGGTTGTATTCGTCTATTGCTTGCATTAAATGGTGAGCAATGTTAATGCCGGTGTGTGGGTATTCCAGCATTTTGAAATGTATTATTCTTTTTTGTAACATCCATTGATCATCTACCCAATGGAAAGTCACACATAAATAGTGATATTTATAACCACTATCCCAAGAATCGGCTGTTAAAGATACTCTACAGTTAAGGTTACTCAATTCGGCTTGTAACCGGACTTTGTACTCTAGGAAATTTTTCATTGCGGCGGAACGAACAGTTTTCCTAGAGATTCTTTTATGTTGGGGTTGTAGTGCTTTGTTAATGTAGGTGTTGAATGCGTCACTTTCCGAGAAAAGAAAAGGTTGTTCGGCGTGTACTATCATTTTTCCTAGTTCATCCCTATCCCTCTCATAGTTGTATGTAAAGCCGTATGGATGGAATTGGGAAATTTTGGGCTGGGTTGGATCACTAGCTGGTTTTGCACAAGCTTTCATGTGTCTAGATAAGTGTCCCGTCCCGTTTTTGGTAACTGTCGTGAATACACTATTACATGTTTTACATTTTGCCCATTGTTCACCATCTTTACTTAGGACAAAATAACGCCATACCTCACTCCTTCGGTTTTTCAAAAGTAGCATCTCAGTTTCGGTTAACCATTCATGATGTGTGTGATGGTTAGTAGTGAGACTAGTGGGAGTGGCAGTAGAAGGGGTAGAACCGGAGGGAATTCGGGTACTTTCTTGGCTACCTTGGCTAGAACAATAGTTTTGTTGATCACCGATATAATTAGGTGGAAATTGGTATGGTGGTAGTGGAAATTGGTTTAGTGGTGGTGCTGGAAATCCCGACGTATTATATGGCTCATAGCCCGGGGGGAAGTAAATGGGGTCATTGGTTTGACTCGTAATTTGGGGGCTCGTTGTATTTGGTGGTTCCCTAGAACTACTACTACGGATAAGTCGGCCTTTCCCCCTAGACCTTGATGATGGGTTGTTCGATGCCATAATTAACAATTAATTTTTTAATAAAAAGTGGTTAACTATAATAATAATAATTAATAACAACAATTTTAACAATAAAAATATCAATAATATTAATTAATAACAACAACTATAACAATAACAATAACAACAAAAATAAATAATAACAACAATTGTAACAATAATAATAATTAATAACAACAATTATAACAACAACAATAACAATTAACAACAATAATTATTAAACAAGATTATTCTAATAATAACAATAAAACAATAATAAATTTAAGATTAGTTTAGATCTTACAACCGTGCTTCAACGCTCCACTAATTACGATTACGAACTTTTTAATTTTTTCCGATATTAGGAAAATAATTAGAGAATTTAAGAGAATAATTAGAGAATTTAAGAAAATAAGGATTATTAGAGATTTAGAGAATATAAGAGATAAGAAGAAGAGATTGTGATTTTGTGATTTGGGAATGAAATGGAGGTGAGTATTTATAGAATTTTTGGGGAGCAAATTGGCAAAAAACTAGCCGTTTTTTAGCCGTTTTTTTGGCTTATTAGAGCTAGAATAAACGGTAACATTACCGTTGGCCCGCGGGCCGTGCCCGCGGGCCGTGCCTGCGGGCCGTGCCTACGGGCCAGCACGGCGGGCCATGCCCGTGCTCGTGCCGGGCCGTGCCTGGGAATTCTCAACCCTGTCCGTGGCACGGCCCGTGGCACGGGAGTTGAACTTCGTGCCGTGCCGTGCTTGAATTCGGGACGTGCCGGGCGGCACGCGGGCCAACCCGGCCCGTGCCCAGGTTTAATGAAAAGCTTTTGGTTGTATAACAAGGGTATATTATGGTGTTGAGCTATGATTTTCTAGTGAAAGGCAAGGCTGGGGTTTTTAGAGATAGTTTACCTGAGAAAAGATTGAAAGAGATGATGAGTGTTCTTTGGGAGTGAAAGTACGGTATTGATATTTGAGGTTAAGGGGGCTTTATATAATTTGAGTTGTTTAGCTTTGACTCTAGAAATTTCACAAGATAAGGGTCAACTTATCTTGAGTTTGTTACATTATCTCAGTAAACAAACTTTCAAAATTCCTTTTTATCAGTTTTCCAATTCAAACCAATCTCTGTATGTTATCCAAAATCAGTTTTTTTTTTTTTTAAAATCCGAAAATAAGATAGTAATATATATTTTTAATATAAATTATAAACTTACAAGTTTATACTAAAAAAATCGTTGACTAAATATCCTCAAAAATTTGGGGTATTACATTGTTTCTTCCTTAGTATCCAAATTTATTTCCTTGTTCAAATCTTTTTATTCTCTAATATCAAAATTTTGTAATTAGTTTTCTTATCCCCCATTACCTTTTTTAAAAAAAAAATATATAAAAAAGAGCTTTGAAAAACGAGAACTTATTTTCCTTTGATTGGTTTGCAATGATAATATTCGATTGTATGTGGTAGATACTTGCTTTCTTTTTGTACTAAAATTACGAGCATGGTTTAGATGCCCTTGGTTGAACATAGAATTGGCTAATTTAGGATAGTTAGAATAACCTTACCAAATGTACGAGACTGAAAGTCTAGGTTTATGGTAAGAAAGTGTCGCCTGTCTCAAAGGAATTTGAACCCGGCCCGAAAGGTAGTAGTATTTGATCGCACATTTGTCCCAAAAAGTGAGGTTTTATATTTTCAAGCCATCAACATTTTGAATGAGTGGAAAAGATCCTCCTTGAATTAGTACCTAGATCAAGAACTTGAGTTTCAACTCCTAAGGTCAAGGCTAAAACTACTATTGTTACTAATGAAGGTTGTTTCATAAGGTGTATATGCATAGTGCAAGTTAAGGCATTCGATTTAGTTTTATCAAACGTATTCTCCTTGTTCATTGTAAATAATACTACCTCCGTTTCTTTTTAGTTGACACATTTTGACTTTAGCATTATTCATCCACCTCCCTTTGACCGTATTTTGTGCTTTATACGTAATGAAAAATATAGTCATGTGGGATCTAGTTAGATTCGTAACGTTGTATACTTTCAAAATATCAACTTTTCAAAAATTTTGCTTATCGATAATTAAAGATATTAATGATTGAATAAGTGCATTGGTAACGTGACTAAAGAAACGTATCAACTAAAAAGAAATGGAGGAAGTAGTTGGTTTTGTATATGAAGCTTTCTACCAAAAAAATGATGGAAAGAAAAAAAAGTAAAAGAAAAGATATGACAAATAGCCATCACCCTAGCAAGTAAACAAGATTGGCGGTGTATTTTTGCTTAAAAGTATGGTTATAGTTTGTATTTAGAGATTGAAGTTAGAACCCTACTTAGGGTTGTTCTTGATGAGTTACATTTTAGCTGGGA